CGAGATTATTAATTTTATAATAATATTCTTGTAACTACACTTTGGATTTAGTTGGTCAGTTTTCAGAATCAAGGGAAAAGACCTCAGATCAAAGTAGAAGTGTTAACGTGGTGGTTAGGAGTTCCTTCAACTTAACAGCAACCTATGATATCTTCCTTCAAATTAATTGCTAATGGTTATTGGTTGTGGGCTTTGTCTCCAAAATTGGTAAGTGAACGTAGCCTCTGCCTATGGTGTTCTCCTTAAAATCGATTGCTAAGGGTCAGTGATTGTTGGCTTTGTCCCTAAATTTAGTAAGACAATCAGACATGTGGCAGGCCGGTTGCCCTTCTTAATTGCAATAAACAAAAGGAAGATCGAGTCAAGCCCATGTGAACTTAAAATTCAATTGGAAATGTGAAGGAATGGGAGCTGTTGCTGCAGTCTAGAAGGGAGAAAACAAATGCAGGCAAGTGACAAATATGGCGGTGTCGACAGATGTGGCAGATCCAATGGCAAAAATCAAAGCAAAAACATGTGATGATCCTACGGAACCAAGAGTTCTATAAATATTGATGTGGTAGACTTGATGATACTTATAAGTTCCATGAGTATTTCCTTCAATCAAATCAATCAATCACAACACATTGGCTATCAAAATTGTTCAAATCTCTAGTTCAGTAGAGAAATTGATGCAATTTCGTTACATTTCTGCCTGTCAGATTTATTACCTTGTTTCTATTAGGATTAATATATGCCTTAAAGCCAATTGGTAGAGTATAGAGGTACGTTCTTGTTATATTTTGCAGTACACTAAACCAATAAAGACTTTTTTTTATTTTCAAGTTTATATATAATTATTATTATTTAATTTTAGAGATAAAATCTATGGAATAAACATGCTTTGTAAAGAAATTATTATAGTTTTATAATTTTTAGATTTTTATTGCTTTAAAGCATTATTCTTAAATTGTTTATAGTCGATATTTTATCAAAATAGAATATTGATAAAGTCATGAGACCGGCATATGTAATATTTCTTACTTAAAAACTAAGCAACCTATACCATAAGTTGAAGTATGAAAATACTTAAATAAACATGTAGGTGCTAGTAATATGAACAAGTTCACTAAATATGACCTGTCATGATAATTTCATAAGATATCTCATTCAAGTGTCCATGAAAACAAATTCTCATGCGATAATTGAATAATTGATCTTTAAACTTGAGATAATTAGGTTATCTTGTATGTGGAGTGCTATACTTTAATACTATCTTATATAGTCTTAGAGATGTACAATGGGATGGGTATAGCATAAAGCATATGGAGATAATAAATGATCAACAAAGGTATCATCACTCTTAAGTCATTCTAAGAGGAATATTACATTTCTTTTTGACATGTGTTAACTCAAAGAAATCTTTAGTCAATGTGGAATGAAGCTTCAGAAAAATATTTTTTCAAATTTCATTAAAGAGTTAATGACTAGTTTTAAAAGATAACAACATGGTTAAGACATATATACAGTAGACACTAAACTATATTCTATATCTTACCAATATTGGGAAAAAGACATGCAATCAACTTACAAAACATAATAGAAAATTTTTCATGACCCAATCCTAGGCCATAACCGACGCATGGGCCTAGCAAGCAAGCCCTCTCAATCCAAGCAAGCTTCAAGACCAATATTCAAATGTAGTCACGATTATAAAATATGTGAGAATACATCCCATCTCAGCTTAATGGAGGTGTATTTGTTGAAATTCATGGAAAATGGAAGTTAAGTTGTAACCATGGTAATTAACTTCAAAAATGGCTAAATCTTACCTAAAAATCAAGTTGGAAGCTTAATCTTTGCTATATGGAGTCCATAAAGTCTAAAGGAAGGATTGAAAAGTGAGAGAAAGTGTTTCGAGGCTGAGAGAAGTGAGAAATGAGAGAAAAA